TTCTTCTTCTCTCTCTCTCTCTCTCTCTCTCTCTCTCTTCTTTTTGTCACTAAGATCACCGAGTCACACAGTTCGTTATAATTCCTAACAGATCATCCTGTGCTTTCGCGACGCATCGTCGAACCGCATAATCGTATTAGCAAATCGATTTGTCGGCTTGACAACTGCCGTCTGGCCTGGCGAGGAACAGCTTGCCGCTTGCACAGGCGCACAACTGATAAATCGTCGACTCCTTTTGACTCTGATGAGCAGACGAAGATCTGCCGGAGTGCTGCTGTTGCTGCTGCTGTTGCTGTTGTTCCCTGGACGAATGTCCTTGCACCGGAATCGCCGTTTTTAAACCCTTGATGTAGACGGACTTGGCATCAAGCCGGATGGCCCCATGTACGCTCTGTAGCTTTAAATCTGTGAGGCAGGAAGCTGAAATCTCGCTCGCCCAGGACTCGATCACAACTCGCTGAGGAGCGCTTATCTTCAAGGACCTCGTCGCTGATTCGAGTCTGCAACACAATAAATTTGATTAAAATAGAATATTAATTTTTTTCGCACGTTATATTTTAATAAAATATTCTTCAATTAATTTTAACAAGATTTTTTTTTTAGTAAAAGCATTACCAATCTCCTTATAAGTGAATGAAGAATCTTGTGTAAACATTTTTTTTTTCCTTTAAATTTCAAGAAGTTAATTCTTTAGTTCATTTTTTAGATGAGAGTTACTTGATTAAACTTCAATTTGAAGCTCAATTATAGAGATACATAATCTTTAAAGTTGGATAGTTAAGTGATAAGTGACAATTTTTTTAAATATTTTCATCAATTATATTATTAAGGAATCATTTATTAGAAAATAATATGTGATGAAAAATATGAAAATATATGAAAATAATATGAGAAATAAAATTTATATACAAAATCATATCTGTCGATATGTAAAGCTCAATAATATTAATTAACAAATTGCAAAGTACATTTAAATTAGGACTAAAATAATTTCATTATTAGGTTTTCAAAGCAACGAACTGCATTGTGTGTCGCATTTACTCTTCGAAATGCGATTATTCTGCCCAAATTATCAGCAATTATTAATTCGCGTGATTAATTAATTTCTATGATTTCTAACTTGTGAATATATCGAAGCAATGATTATTTTTAAAAAAATCTAAAGTAATTTATCAAAGAATGTTACAATTTAATTATTTCAGATAAAAATGGAAACGATAGAAAATAGGAAATATAAATGATTGTGTATTGTATTCCAATTACAACGATAATTGTTTCTTGAATAATTGGACCGGAATACATCGTACTTTGAATCACTGAGATTTAAATACATATATTATTTATATTTGAAGCTCGGAACGACACGTTTTTCAATAAATACAATTAAAATATATGATAAAAATATATTTATTGAAAAACGTGTATTTTATATATATATATATATATATATATATATATATATATATAATAAATAATATATAT